AAGCTGTCTGCCCCAGACTGCTAGAGGTCCATTGTGGTTTACCTGAAGGTGGTGGGCATAAAAGATATTCTTGAGGTACTCGCTGGCTTTGAGAGATTGCGTTTTCCAGGCATTGCCAGAATCACTGATGAAACTCATGAGCCCATAGTTTGCCTTTCTCGAGGAGCACAAATACATAAATTGCAAAAGGTACCTGCCCATTGTTACACAGACCTATGAGGTGACCACAGGTTAACTTGTGAATGTCAGGAATGAAGAGCTCTGGCTTTACGTTAATGGACAGGCCGGGACACATTTCCCAGTAAGTGACAGTGTCAGAAATGGAGTTACTGTCCCACTGTTACTCTGGAGAAGCCCACATATCTACTCCCTTTTGCCCTGGCTTATGAAACTGTGCCCTGATTTCAGAAGCCCTGGCAAAAGACTGTTTTATTGACACCTCTTGAAGTATAAATAGTGCTTGAGGCTACGTCTACACTGCAGGCTTCTTATGAAAGAAGCCTCTTGCGCAAGAGCTTTTGCGCAAAAACTTCTTGCGCAAGAGCACGTCCACACCTCAAAGCGCATCGCAAAAGTGATGTGCTTTTGCGCAAGAGAGCGTCCACACTGCAGGGACGCACTTGAGCAAGAAAGCTCTGATGGCCATTCACAGAATGGCCATCAGAGCACCTGTGCTTTTTCCCTCTGGAGTGTCCACGCTTGCCTTTTTGCACAATAGGTGTAGTGTAAAAGGGAGTTATGCCTCGTAGAAGGAGCTTTACCTACACCAGCAAAAGCCCTCTGTTCTGCCATTTTACTGCTGATTTACTTGTGCAAAAGCACATTTGAGGCATGGACACTGTAGGTTTTTGCGCAAAACCTGTCATTTTTGCGCAAAAACCTTGCAGCGTAGATGTAGCCTGAATGTGTTTTTGGTGGATTGAAACTATTTTGGAGATGGTTATGAACCTGTTGGGATGCTAGTGTTGGCAGGGCTGTCCAGATTACTATGGCTTGCAGTGCTTTTTGCAATGCTTGCAAAGCCAGAGGTGAGCTGTTTCCTCCTGAATGGACCTCTGATAGCCAAGGGCTGATGGTTCGGTGCCCTCTGTCAGAAAGTGCACCTGCCACAGCTGGAGCTGGCTGCACGCAGGCAGCAGAAGTCAGGGGTGCTGTCTGTTCTCATGTTATGGACTTGATGGCCTCAAAGGAACGGGGAATAGCACCTCTGTGAATGCGCTGGTGGAGGGCCAGGGCTAATAGCTGAGGGGTGGGTTTCAGTGCTTGGGATGGGCTGGAGGTTTGATTGCCATGCAGTGTATCTATAAGTGACATGACAGTTTATGAAATGGGGGTGGGTGGGGAATGACTCTCAGCAGGTATTCATATAGGGAAGTGATGGAAGCGTGGATTGCTGTACCTAGCTGTATGGAGGATTAGTGTTTTTGCACACTGACTCCTAATTGCTCCTGATCGTGTGTTTACTGTTACTGTTTCAAACACAGATTGTATGATGAGATGACCTAAAGAGTTTTATATATAAACATTTTAAAATAATACAACCTCTCCTCATTGCCAGGCAGGCCAGCTGCTATTATCACACCAAAACACCAGTTACAGCCGAACTTTTGCAAAACAAAAAGTGCGCAAGCAAGCGCGAGCAGTGAAACCAACAAAATAACTCCCTCTCCCTCATTCTTCTTTCCCTTCTTTCCTCATTTGCCCTGAGCTTGATGCCTGGGGAGCAATGTTCCTTCTAATTTTTTCTCATCAATGTGTGGAATAAATTTTATGTGCACTGAGGCATGTGCAGATGGGAACCACAGGTAGAAGCACATGCTGCCAGCTGTAGGTGCTCTGCTAATCATCTGGGCAGCATTTAAATCTCTCTTGGTTGGCTGCCCAAGCACCCAGGTTACAGGGAAGACTGCTAAGGAGGGAGGATGGAAGTATCCACAAGGGAGAGGGTCAAAGTGGAGGACTGTATGGAGTTAAGTTCCTCAGCTGCTCATGATGCTTGATTGCATGGGCCACTCGGCCATGGAGTTTTCCAAGCTGTTTCTAGACTACATGCCAGGGTATGTGACAGAGGACTCAGGCCACGGTATGGAAGAAGCAGCAGGAGCTGGTCCTCCTCAAGCCAGGATTGATATCAGCCGCTCAAACAGGTCTCTCTCCTGAGCTCTATTCTCCTCCCTTAGCCATCTTCCCTGTTCTCAGATCCATGAAGCAAGTGTTTGCTTCTGCACTAGAACCTTGTCTTCAGGCTGTGGGGCCAGGCTCAGGTTTTCTCTTGCTTCTCTCCATACCATTTCTTTAGCTGGCAGTCCCCTCTGTTTCTGGTACCAGGCCTGCTTGTTGGCCCTCTCCAAACTTTAACCAGAGGTGTGGTTCTGGCCCCTGGTTTTCCTTTACTCACTCTTTAGCCACCTAATCTACTCCCTGCACTAGTCACTGGTCTGGTAAATTTGCAAAGCTTCCAGCTTCTTCGTTATTTGTATGCTCGTTGCTGGTACTCTTGCTAAAGTTCCTAGTTGTACTGGCTTTGCCCCAGAGATTCACCAAAATGTGGCTGTGCTCCCGTGAAAGTTCTTCTCTTTTCACTGTAGTCTGTTGAAGATTTTTGGGAGAGAAAAGATAAAGAAAGTGAGCCCATGGGATTGGTGGGCTCCCTAGGATGAGAGTCAAGTGGAACAAAACAATAGTGGTGGAATCATGGGTCATGGCTTAATTTGGTCTCTCACGCTGCAGTCCTGCAGGCTCCTTAGATGCAGCATTCAAGCTGTGAGTTAGAGCATTTTGAGCTGGGCTTGAGCCTGAGTCTGCATCTGGTCTTACATTGCAGTGTAGACTTAGGAGGCCTGATTCTTTGTTTCATACACTTATAATTTCTCAAAATATATAGCTTGTCTGAAAGCAAATTTCCTTTTTCAAGGTTTGAGCAAAATACCTCTTAATGTGATAGGATAGGGCTGTGGTGTCTAGCACATGCTAGTGACACATGTGGTTGTTTGGCCAGTTTAGTGTGGCTAGTTGGCTTGAATAATGTGGCTAGTTTGTTATAGCAGTAGCCATTATAGTGACTAATGCTTCAGAACTGGTTGGACACCACAGGGATATGGTGTATTTCCCTCCCGCAAAGTGTGTGTGTGTGTGTGTGTGTGTGTGTGTGTGTGTGTGTGTGGCTAGCTTGCTACAACTATAGATAAATATATACAAATAAAATATAGTAAAGGCTCTCCCTTTGTTTTGGTTGGAAAAGTTAAAAAAGACAAATTGAATATTTGAACACTAAGTTTTCCAAGTGCATCGTTCATAGTGGGTGCCACAGGATGAGAGCAAGTTTTTAAATAAGAACATTGAATGCATTGTATTAATTGACAACTTTAAATGGTAGTGAGACAATGTGTATGCCTTAAAATAGTATGGGGTAGAATCCAAGTTGAGCTTTCAACCTTATTCTTGCATTTCCTGATTTCTTTGAGTGACTGGTTGCTTGGTTTTAACATTGCCTTAATGGTGTTTTTGGCATAGAAATAATAGTATGAAAACCAGGTTGAATTGAATCTACCTTCAGAACTTTATTTGTTGTGGTAAATTCTGCTTTAAAGTGCTGGAACCATATAAGGTATCACCTTAGCAGTACTCCTATGCTGCTGTGCAGTGCAGAGCAAAGGAAATTGAAATGATCCATGCTCATCACATGCCTAATCCATTTGCAGTAGAAAACTTCTTCTCCGTTGAGATCTGCACCAAACTGGAAGGCCCCTGACTCTGGCGTAGTTTTCTGTATCACTGATAGTATTTCTCGTGATCTGGCAGTCTTCAGTTTTCTTATCGGCCTTCTGTATGTTTAAGCAAAAGCTTCTAAGCTTGTAATTGAAGGAGGTCTTTCTACCTGTACTACACACATTTGTCATCCTCCATTGATTCCTCATTTAATTTTAACATGATGGGCTAATCTGTGAGCTCTTTGTGCCCTTTGTGAGTAATTACTTACATAAATAGCACCTTTGAATCCATTGAAAGGAGTAAAACATTTGGCAGTGGAAGTCTGGGATATACACAGCCTAGCCCTATGTAACGATTCAACACTTCTGGTTTGAACACAAATACAACGCTACCGTTTCCCTAAATTCCTGCCTTTTGCAGATGGGAAGCTGAATCCCTTTGGGTACCCAGATTGTCTTGGGCTATCAGAGCGGTCTCTGTTCTGCTGTTAGTAATTTTGTCAGTGCTGTAGAATAAAGTAGAAAATTGAAACTTTGTGAAAGATCAACAAAGCAGTGCAGAATACCACACAGCAACATCTGGTTAACTAGGCACTCTCTCTTCTCTTTGACCTTCCTTTCCACCCCCAAATCTCCTGTTTTGAGAGTTTGGAGTGATAGGAGCTTTAAAAAGAATTCTAGCTGTTTGTTTCTCTCTCTGTGGTCTGAAGGCTTTGCAAAAGTCCCATCTGGGATTAAAAAATTTTATTTGTGTGTTTCTCCATTTTTAGCTATGGAACAAATGGGAGTTTGCTGAATGTATCAGTTGTGTTCCATTGTAAAAAGTCTATCGTGAGAGCCATTACATATGGTACCTTCGAAAGCTCTGCAGAGAGAAATTAAAACAACTTCCCTTTCTAATTAGGAGCTTTCAGGAAATCATTGATTACAAAATCTAATACAGTTGCTCAGAAACCTTTCTTTGATATTACTTCCAAATGAAATGTGTATGTAATTTCACCAGTGAGTCTGGAAGCATCTGTACTCTGTTTGTAAGACTGATTTTGCAAAAGTTCTTCCTCTTAGCCCCCTAAAGAATTATAGCTAACAAAATATTAGTTCCATACTATATGTCCCAGTAAGGAATTAAATTTACTATCAGGAAATGGCTAATATAATGAATAATATGTTGTTAATGTGGTGATCAGTCTACCTTCATAAGTGTAAAATTACCCTCCCAACCTCAAAGGAGGAGCCAGCAAAAAACTAATGTCATTTTTTTAAAGATTCATTGTTGTTCCTTTTCAACAGGGTCAGCAAATTTCATTAGCGCCCATCCAAAAACTGGAAGAAGCCCTGTATGAGTATCAACCATTGCACGTTGAGACCTATGGGCCACAAGTTCCAGATATTGAACTTCTGGGAAGGCAGGGGTAAGTTCCACATTAGTAATTGAATCTGTTTCATGGCGTTTTATCTGGGAATGTTACCATCTTTGCTTGGTCAGCAACATATCGTTTTTTTAATATGTTAATGAAATATTAGACTTCCTAGCCAGCCATCGTTTTGTTTGGGTGGATAAGCTAAAAATTTTTGTCCTTTATAGATCTATTGAGAGCTAAACTGGATTGCATTAGTGTTTTTAAGGTTGTCATTGGCAGCCGTTGTGAAGTAGCTGTTCATTTTCAGTTGCACTATATTAAAGAGTAAATAAATAAAAAATTGGGGCTTAATTTACCCAGCAGCAAGCCAGTAAAAATATCAAAGCTGGGCCTTTTGCCATGGAAATGGGTAGATTTACTCACTGACTGCCATTTGCAGTTAAACAACATTTGTGAGAAATGAAGTATAGAGCTTAACTTTGTCAAAGTATAATGCAAGGCTGGCCCAGCAGTTTGGCTGCATTGCTGTATGTGGCCATGTTGGGGGGGGGGAGGGGGAACTTAAGAGCTTGGTGTTCCACGGTAATGGAGACAGAATAGCACAACAGCGGCATGCCTGCTCTCCGCTAAAAAGATTAGAAGCTGAACACCCGCTAAACATGTACACGAACAGCCAGATGGAGAATGTCACTGAGCTGGGTCTGGATGCCTTCAAGGTCATGCACCCTTGCTCCTTCTAGAAGACACATTGCAGAAGAGTGAAAATGTACGACGTCAGGGGGAAGAAACAAAACTAAAAAACCCCTCACAAAACCCCAGACTCAGAATGTGCACACAAGAGACCCCAAGGCCCCGAAATACCAGTGAGAATACAGCTGTGTGGGACCCTCTGGTATGCATCTTAGGTCTGATCCAAAGGGTACTGAAATTCAAGGAAAGAGTCCCAAGCACCTCCAAGACGTGCTGTTGTATTTTTTAGATTAGAAATTACATTCTTCATTCTGGGAGGGCACAGAGGTCTCAAAAAAGGTTTTTAAATACAGTCATTCCTGATGGAATAAGCAATCTAAAACTCAGTGTTGCTAAAAGACCAGCAAGCTTATCTAGAATCGCTTCCTGGTTTTGTTCTCATGTATTCCTGATGCCCAGCATTTCCGTAATCTGATATCAAGTTTATCAGAGCAAATATTCATCTGCTATCCTAACCCTGGTGGACATAGCTGGAGCCACCAGCATTTGCCACCTGTTCAAAATGCAGCTGTGGGGCCTCTGCTGCAGGGGGAGTTCTGAAGATCCCTCAGGCATGGATTAGGGATGTTAGATAGCGTGTAATTGAATAGTTGTGTAACCACATCAAATTTTAGCAGTTACATGACTGTTTGATAGTCCATGGGGGTGGGGCCGGCAGCCAGTGTACTCCCAGCCCCACTCCCTATCAGAGGCAGCAACCTGGGGTGGCAGGTGGGAGCTGCCGTCTGCTGTTCTGTACTGCTGTCTCTGACACAGAGGCAATAGCACAGGATGGCAGCAGGATCTGTCTGGGGAGCTCGGACCCCCGAGGTTGCAGAGCAGCCTCTATCTGCAGCGAGCCCAGGCCTGCCATGGATGGAGGCTGCATCGTAGCATCCTCCCCTGCCCCCCACTGCGTGCTGCTGCCTCTGATAGCAGCAGGGCAGGGGGCAGGTAGCACTTGCTTCTGCCTTCTCCTAACCCCCGCTGCCTCTATAGGAGGCAGCAATGGGGGAAAGCGAATCTGTGGAACTGGCATGCGCAGAGAGCCAGCTTAAAAGCCAGCTCCCTATGCATATTGGCTCCTGCCTGCTCCCCTTTCTCTCTGCACAGGGGTGAGGGGGCAGGCAGATCTGGTGCTGGCTCCCCACAGGCACCGGCTTCCGCCTCCTCCCCACCCCTTGCTGCTTCTGATACAAAGGCAGCAAGGGAGGGGATGCATGTAGTTGATGGGTTTAACCACTAAGCCCAGGTTTATTGGTTAATTGTGTAGTCGTGTATACGTGGATATCCCTACCATGGATGGACCCTCTTAGAAATGAAAATGGGAAAAATTAGTCTTCCATGAGGATGCCCTCTAGGCATTGGCATTTCATGTATAACATGTATCCTGGGTAACTCATGTGCACGGAGATCTAGGAACCTTTCTGTAACAGCTATCTCCATAGTACCTAAGTGTACGTGATGTTTGTTCAGTAGAATTCAGCTTTTTGGAAAGAGAATACCTTCTAAGTACTGCGTGGCTTCAATCTAGCTGCTCATGTTGTCAAGATTTTTCCCATAAAATACTAAGACATGCTTAATGCCTAGAGAAGCAGTCAGCAAGAGTCACTTAACAGAGATGCTCAGAAAGAGGTAGGAGTAGTCCTGGCAGTGTGTGTGGGGGGGGATCTCGCCTCTTCCTGCATGGGATGGCCTTGAGAATGCAATCCCACTTGGCTGCCAAATGCAGGTGATGAAAGAGTTTGAGTGAGTGATTTGGCAGATGTTATCTGCCACATGTGGGGGAACTTTGAGTTCCCCAACGGAGTCCAGAGACCTTCTGTGATTTAAAAATAAATAATGTATCCATCCTGCATCTGCCTTGCTGTTACTCTTCCAGTCTTATTCCACGGGGTATTTTTAATACCTTAGACCATGCAATACCTTACTTCTTTATATATTGGTTTCTGTATTTGCATGAACTCCTGTTCATCCATTGATACATGCTGAACAAATGTGATGTGGCCCCATGGCTGACCTTAGAGACAGCTGCAAACAGCTGGCTTAACGAGGCAGATGAGTTGAGCATAATACATGCTCCTACTAAAGATTTTTAACTTGAACCCTATTACAAAGGTTATATCTAAAAGGAGGAACAGATTCTCTCTCTCTCTCTCTCTCTCTCTCTCTCTCTCAAGTGAATATATTTAATTGGTGTATGGAAATTAGTGACACTTCACTTGGTCAGTCAGATTTCTCAGTTTTATACAGTATAGTCAGTTGTAGACTGCAGTGAAATTTCATGTTCCTATAAAGATATTGTGCATGAAAATTTCAATTTATTGCTTGCTGGACAGTTCCCCCAAAAATGCAGACTTCAGTGTATCCAAACCTCAGGAGCCTAGATTTTTGCAGATACTCTGCCAATCTAGTGTGGAGCCTTTAAATTTACTTCTGGTCGCATCTTTTATTGATTTTTAAGATATTGTTTATTACCTTCAAAGCACACAACGGGATGGATCCATCAAATATTCTCATCTTAACCTCATATTTTCCACAACACTCACATCAATCTTCAGAGCAAGGAAAGCTGCTCCTTTTGTAGTATGCTGGAATCTGTGGATAACAAAGGGGGTTATTAGCACGTAAGCTCATAACAAAGAGCAAGAAAGAAGGATTAATTTTCAAGAGCTTATTTTAGGATTTTTGTTCCTTTTCTTTTTTTCTAAAAAATGGTGGTGAATATTTAGATTGTCCTATACCAGTTACTCACTAGGCTTCAGATAATTCAATTGTGTGGGGACTGATAAGCTCTACAATGTGCACAATTTTAAAATATTTTCAGCAAGTCGCATGGGGAAATCAGTGTTCAAATAGTTTTTTAAAAAGTTGTTTTCAGGCTCTCGAAGAGATAACCAAATGCTATAACTTTTTTCCCCCTGTTTTGTAACATTGATAAGTGGTTTTTGCAATCAACTCCTTTTAAAGCCTTAAAAAAATTAAGAAATTGATTTTCAATACTAATGAATGACAATGTGTATATTTTTCCTTTTCCTTAGGAACAGTGTTTGAATTGTTGAAATGTAGACAATATTCCCAAATTAGCATAATAAGAATTGCCACAGAAACAGGTAATTTGCTTCAGTCAAGATGCGAAGGATCAAACTTTATCAAAGGGATTTAAGTTTTCTCATTGCTAACTGAGATTCCCTTAACAACAACAAGGAAACCCTGTGGCATGTTAAAAACAAACAGATTTATTTGGGCACCAACTTTCATGACCAAAAACCCACCTTGTCTGTCTTCTT